ACTCCTTGGCACTGGAGAAGCTGGGAATTGGTGGAGTTTTCCTCCTCTTTTCTGCTGGAATCTGCACTTTCCTGGGAGCCCAAAAGTGGGGAGGAGCTCAGGCAGCACCCGGAATGTGGTCCCCGTGCTCTAGGAGTGACCAGGATAAAATTTGCTCTGGTTGATGCCAAGATGGGATGAGCCTGAAGGAATTGGAGGATCTCAGTGCTACAGGGGTGGAATTCTTGAAATGCCACAAAGATGTGGATCCCAGATCCTGGTGGAAAAATTCAAGGTGCTCACGCTGCTCTCCATGGAGAAACACTGGAAAGCACAAAGTCCAAAAATCCTAAACCAGAGAGAAATTTAAAAAAAAAACATCAAACCTGATATTAAACATGATCCTGGGAGGGTTTAAGGCAACAGTCTTGTTGGAAAACTGAGGATATGGAAGAAACATGGATGGGGGATTTAGGGAATGGGGGAATTCTGCCCCTGTGCCTCACTCAGGTGAGACCCACCTGCAGAGCTGCCCCAGCCCTGGATCCAGCACGGGAAGGAGCTGGAGCTGCTGGAGAGAGCCCAGAGGAGGCTCCAGGATGATCCCAGGGATGGAGCAGCTCTGCTGGGAGGAAAGGCTGGGAGAGCTGGGAATGTTCCCCTGGAGAGAAGAAGGTTTGGGGTGACCTCAGTGTGACCTTCCAGGACCTGGAGAAGCTGCAGGAAACGTGGAGAGAGAAAATTTCCAAGGGATGAAGGGACAGGACACAGGGAATGGCTTCAAACTGCCAGAGAGCAGAGTTGGATCAGATATTGGGATGGAATTCCTGGCTAGGAGGGTGGTGAAGGGTTGGAATGGATTTTCCAAAGAAGCTGTGGCTGTGCCTGGATCCCTGGAAGTGTCCAAGGCCAGGCTGGATACTTGGATCACCTGGAATGGTGGGAGATATCCCACTGTGGATTTTCCCATTTCCTAACAGCTCCAGTGGTTGGTAGCCGATATTTTCCCTGTGATCCTGGATTTTCCTCACCTCCAACCTTCCAAATTTGATCCAAAAGTCCAAACTTGCCCTCACCTGGCCCTGATCCAGGGAGCCACCACCTCCTCCAAAGGAAAAACATGGAAAGCATCCCCGCGGGCCAGATGCAGCCCTGGATCAATCACATCCCACATGGATAATGAGGAGCATTGATCAACTTTTACAAAATCCTGATAACCTCCCCTGGCTGCTCCCCTTCTGCCCGGAGCTCATCCCAGCGCTCCCGTTTTCCACCGGGAAAAAGCACAAAGGGAAGGAGCCAGCCGGGAAAAACAAACTTATCTGGAGATAAGAGCAAGTGGGAGAGCAGGAGATAAGGATCAAACGCTCTTCCTGCTCTTTCTTTTCTCTCCACTTCCTGCCGGGAGCAGCTCCGCAATCCCACCTCTACTTCAGGGCACAACAGAGATGGGATTCACCCCAGGTCAAGTTTTTCCTGAGGTTTTCCATGTTTTCCAAAGGCACCAGCCCTGAAATCCTAAATTTACATGTTCTTATCCCGTGCTGAAGAGTCCCAGGTTTGTCAGGAGATGCCACAGGAATTTTGATCCTCAGGAACAGCTTGGTCCCTGATCCAGCTGACAAAAAAATCCAAATGTTTGAGGTTTTCCATGTTTTCCAAAGGCACCAGCCCTGAAAACCAAAATTCCCATGTTCTTACCCAGTGCTGAAGCTGGAGAGTCCCAGATTTGCCCCAGAAGATGCCACGGGAATTCCAAGCCTCGGGAACAGCTTGGTCCCTGATCCAGCTGACAAAGTCACCAAAATGTCCAACTTAATCACGCCAAAAGTGAGGTTTTCCCAGTTTTCCAGAGGCACCAGCCCTGAAATCCTAAATTTACATGTTCTTATCCCATGCTGGAGAGTCCCATATTTGTCCCAGCAGAGGCCGCAGGAATTCTGAACATCAGGAACAGGTTGATCCAGCTGACAAGGCCACAAAAAATTCCAGATTTTATCATGCCAGAAGTGAGATTTTCCAAGTTTTCCAAAAACACCAGCCCTGAAAACCTAAATGGAGAAGTTTTTAATCCAGTACTGAAGCTGGGGAGTTCCAAATTTGTCCCAGGAGATGCCACGGGAATTCCAAGGCTCGGGAACAGGCTGGTCCCTAATCCAGATGACAAGGCCACCAAAAAATCAGCTGGAAAAGCTGATCCAAGTGTCAAAAAAACAAACAAACAAAAGAGTTTCAAGTCATCCCTGTTCCCTTGTTTTCTGGATCCCTCAGGGAATCTCATCATAAAATCCTGGAATTTGAATTGGGACCAACCAGGATCATGGAAGTCCACGTCCTGGCCTTGCACTTGGGTTTTCCATCCCTCTTTCCTACAGCCTGGACTTCAGGAGTCTCAGGGGTGACTTGGAATTGTCAGGGAGGTGATCCCAGCACTTCCACAGCTCCAGGAATGTTCCATTCAGATTCCAAGCCGGAGCCATGACGGGAAATGGCTCCTTCACCATCCAAATCTCCCTCTTTGTACAAAATTCCCAGGTTTTGGGATCACAAAACCAAATAACAGCAAAGTTGGCACATCCAGGTGGCTCCAGAAAAGAGGGAATTTGGAATTGTGACTCTCTGGAAGTGGAGCTGTTTATCCAGAGTTTGGATGAACCATAAAATCGATCGCTCACAGTAACACAAACCATGACAGTCCCAAAAATGATGGAAATGAACCCATTTTAGAGCTGTCCACTTCCCAATAAAATATTTTCCCTCAGGACAAAGCTGATGGACACGGGACTTCCCAAAAAGCCTTCCCAGTTTATAAAATGGGATTACTGGAGATTTTGAGGAGCAGAAAAAAGCTCCTCATGATGGAATGATGGAATCCCAGGATGGTTTGGGTTGGAAGGGACCTTAAGGATCATCCAGTGCCACCCCTGCCATGGGCTGGGACAATTCCCTCCATCCCAGGGTGCTCCAAGCTCTGTCCAGGCCAGCCTTGGGATCACAGGTGGGATCCAGCTCACAGCGCTTCAGCCACCAAATCCCACAGAGCTGCTCCAAGGGCTGGAGCCGGGCTGGGACAGCTGGGAATGTTCACCTGGAGAAGGGAAAAATCCATGGAAAGCTCAGAGCCCCTTGCAGGGCCTGAAGGGGCTCCAGGAGAGCTGGAGAGGGACTGGGGACAAGGATGGAGGGACAGGACACAGGGAATGGCTTCCACTGCCAGAGGGCAGGGATGGATGGGAGATTGGGAATTGGGAATTCCTGGTGGGGGGGGGCTGGGATGGAATTCCCAGAGCAGATGTGGCTGCCCCTGGATCCCTGGAAGTGCCCAAGGCCAGGTTGGAGCACCCTGGGATAACAGGAAGTGTCTCCACCAGTGGGATCACCAATGGGATCATCCTTAAGGTCCCTTCCCACCCAATCCATCCTGGAATTCTGTTATCCCCACAAACAGGATGAACAGGAGAATATTTGAATTCCAAATCCATGCTCCCACTCCCACCTCCCCCATCCAGCTGATCCAGCCTTATCCATCCACAAGTCCCACAATTCCTTTTCTTATTTAATTTTTTTAAAGGAATTTGGCCCAAGGTATTTCCTTGTAAATCGGAACAGGTTTTTTGTTTTTTTTTTTTTTTTCCCATGATTTCCATGGATTTAAAAAAATACCCAAACCCCAACTGTGGTTACAACCAAGGAAACCAAGGAGAGAGGGGGAAAAAACTCACCCCGCTCTCCAGGGGTGTTTATGAGCTCAAATTTTCCCAATTTTTTTTTTTTTAATGGAAAGGTGGAAAAATATGTATTTCATTTTTTCCCTTTTTTTTTTCCTGGCCCCCCTTCATCCCTCCATCCCACCCCCTTTCCCTAACGGCTCTCCCAAAAAACATCCCGTGGGCATTTTGCTGTCATAAAGCACAAAAACGAGGCCAAAGTGCCCGAGAGGAGCCAAACCGCGGCCGGAACGGGATTTTTCTCACTCGGGGAATTTGCTGTGCTTGGAAGCAGCAATCCCATTAAAAAAAGTGTGGAAAACCAGGCAGCCCTAAGGACACGGAGAGCGGCTGGCGTCGGGATCGCGGAATTTCGCTCAGGGGCGGCTCCCAAGATGTTTCCTCTCTTTTTGGGATGCGTTTTCCAAGCTTGACTCACCTCCAGGAGCTGGAAAGGCTCTGGAGAGGATGTGGACAAGGAGTAATTCCCAAATCCAGGAATCTCCAAGATGATCCATGTGGAAGGACAGGTTGTTCCAGAGGGAGCCATCTCTGAGTCTCCGGAACCTCCATTCTGGGTCCTGTTCCACATTGGGCACCTGGGACACGGAATTCCCATTTGGAATCCCTCAAATCCATTAAATTTTGGGATTTCCCTATGGAATTTCAAGCTGGTGTGGGACTCCACTGATTTGGGGATGTACAGCCCACAAAAGGAGTCGGGAATCCCACAAAGAATCCCAGAAAACCCCAGAATCCCGGAACGGTTTGGGGTGGAAGGGATCTTAAGGATCATCCCATTCCAATCCAACTCTCATGGAAAAAAAGGGCTTGGAGCAACCTTGGGATAGTGGCAAGTGTCCCTGGGGATGGGGCTGGATAATCCCAAAAAATCCCTTCCAAGCCAATCCATTTGGGAATTCCATCCAGCAGCACCTCCAGCTCCCGTTTTCCAGCTGGGTGTTCCCAGGATGTTCCCATTCCTGGGATTGCTCCTTCCCAGGGAAGGATTTCTCCTTGTTAAATCCATGGAGATCCCACCAGCCCATTTTTCCAGGAGTTTGAGGCCCCTCTGGAATATCAGCCACTCTTCCCAGCCTCGCTGAAGATCACGGAATTACGGAACAATTTGGGCTGGAAGCGTAAAACTCATCCAGGGCCACATTCCAGCAGGGAAAATTTTCCATATTTTTAATCCCAAATAAAGCCATCCTAAAGCCCAACTCAACAGAATCCATGAAATCCCATTCCACAGGAAAACAGGGATGGATTTTTCCCGCAAATTCCCAGCCAAGTGAAGACAGGAGAGAAAAATCACAATTCCAAGAGATTTAATAAGAAGGAATTACAGGTGGAAAATCCTTCTGGCACATGGAATTCAGTCAATGTACAGATCCAGGATGGGTTTTCCAAGGAATATTCCAAGTTTTTTGGGGTATGTTGGACTCAACACAACCCACAAAATACGGAGTCGGTGCTAAAACCCCACAACAATAAAAAATATGGCACAAAGAACACCCCAAAACTGCTCAAATCCGAAAGATTTCTTTTTGGGAATTCTGGGTTGGAACTCATCCCACGCCCAGTTCCCATCCCAGCCTCAACAAACATGGATTTGGTGTGAAATCCATGGAAAAATGAGGTGTGGGAAGTGCCTTTTCCTCTCTCAGCAAACCTGTAGCGATTTGGGGGCGGGAAACAACAGGAGAAGCTCCGAGGGGATTTTATTCCCTGGAAATAATTGATGGATATGGAATTATCACTGGATTTTCCAATAAAGTGCATGCCAGGAAAAACTTGGAATAAATTTTACTCCAGTCCTAACTAAGCTGAAGAAATACAAACCTTGCAAACAACACCCCTCGACATGGTTCGGTGTCTTTTTCTCCCAAAATTAGGCTGGATTCCAAAAAAATGGGAAAAATTCCCATGGAATCCAAGGATTTGAAGCTTCACTGTTTCAAAATATTGCACTGAAAGTGTTGGGTTTGAAAGCAACACCAAAAATACTTAAATTAAAATTTAAAAAATAATTTTAAAAATATATTTAACAACGGCTCCTTGGAGGTAAAATAGCTGGAAAAGGTAGGGATTGATGAAATGGGAATTTTTCCTATGGAATATCAATAATTTAGGAATCTCTGCTCTCAACGGAGCCAAGTGTAAACTTCAGACTTTAATTGAAAATATTCCCTTTTTTTAAGGAATTCTGGAAAAGCCTTGAAATGTTTCATCACCACTGAGTGCAAATAAACAAAAAAAATCAGGATTGGCTCCAAAGGATTTTAGGGAAAGAGCTGGAGAGGGAATTCATGGGCTGGAAAGCAGCAAAATGAAAAAGCACATTAATGAATGAATGAATTAATTATTAAGTCAGGTTTTGTCACACCCTTTCCTATTTACAAGGTTTGGCAGTGAAGAATCCACAAGTTCTGTTTCATCCCAATTGGAATTTGGATCTTTCCATCCAAAAAAAGCTTCCAAACCTCATCCACGATCTAAACCTCATCCAAGATGCAACCACGATCCAAGATCCAAACTTGATCCAAGATCCAACCATCATTCATGATCCAACCATGATCCAAGATCCAAACTTGATCCAAGATCCAACCATCATTCATGATCCAACCACGATCCAAGATCCAACCCTCATCCAAGATCCAAACGTGATCCAAGGTCCAACAATCATCCAACATGCAAACCTCATCCAAAACCCAAACATTATCCAAGGTCCAACCCTCATCCAAGATCCAACCACCCAAGATCCAAACATGATCCAAGATCCAACCATGATCCAAGATCCAACCACTGTCCAAGATCCAAACACGACCCAAGATCCAAACGCTACCCAAGGTCCAATCCTTATCCAAAATCCAAACACTGTCCAAGATCCAAACGTGATCCAAGATCCAAACTCTAAGATCCAGCCATCATCCAACATGTAAACCTCATCCAAAATCCAAACATTATCCATCATTATCTATCATCTAAGATCCAAACATCCTCCAAGATCCAATCATGATCCAAGATCCAATCATGATCCAAGATCCAACCCACATCCAAGACGCAAACATTACCCAAGGTCCAATCCTCATCTAAGATCCAACCATCATCCAACATCCAAACCTCATCCAAAATCCAACTGCCATCCAAGATCCAAACCTCCTCCAAGATCCAGCCATCATCCAACATGCAAAACTCATCCAAAATCCAAACACCCTCCAAGATCCAATCATGATCCAAGACCCAACCATCCAAGATCCAATCATCCTCCAAGCCATGATCCAAGATACAACCATCCAAGATCCTAACATCCTCCAAGATCCAATCATGATCCAAGATCCAACCATCCAAGATCCGAACATCCTCCAAGATCCAATCATGATCCAAGATCCAACCATCATCCAAGTCCAGGAACTGCTTCAATCCTCTCAGGAACTCACCTCCAGCAGCGCCATTTTCCAAACCTCATTCCAAACCCCTCCCAAGGTGTCTCTGGAAAATCCAGTCCTGAAACTCCCGGCTCCCCCACCCTCCTGCTCTTGCCGGCGTTCCCATTCCCGCCGGGAGGTTAGGTCAGCTTCCTCATCCTGCGGTTCTGCCGGTCGATGGTGAGCGTGGCACGATCCACGGAGCTGCTGATGGAATCCAGGGCCTCGTCCTGCCTTTCCAGCTCCGCCTCCGTCTCCAGCGCCAACCCCTTCAGCTTCTTCAGGATCTGCCGGAGGGAAACACGGAGAGCTCACGGTCAGGCACAGAACAGGATAATTCCTGCTCTGACATCCCAGAATCCGGGTGGGAGGGATCTTAAGGATCATCCAGCTCCATGCAGGGACACCTCCCACCATCCCACGGTGATCCCAATGTCCAGCCTGGCCTTGGACATTTCAGGGATCCAGGGGCAGCCACAGCTGCTCTGGGAATTCCATCCCAGCCCCTCCCCACCCTCCCAGCCAGGAACTCCTAATTCCCAATATCCCATCCAGCCCTGTCCTCTGGCAGGATATTTTTCCCATTATAAAAAATAAAATAAAATAAATAAAAATCAAAGAAAATCAAAGTGTAAAAAAAAGAATAAAATAAAAAAAAGTTCTGAAATGGCTGCCCGGGGAGGTGGTGGAGTCCCCATCCCTGGGTGTGTTTAACAAAGCCTGGATGTGGCACTGGGTGCCAGGGTTGGGTTGAGGTGTTGGGGTGGGTTGGACTCGATGATCCTGAAGGTCTCTTCCAACCTGGCCATTCTGGGAATTCTGTGAAATTCTGGGAAATCTCATCCCCATATTTACCTGTCGGAGCTCCTTGGCTTCCTCCTGGGATATTTTCTGCAGCTGCACCTGCTCCTTGTCCGTCCCTTCGGCGCTCCCCGCCGGCAATCCGGGATTCACCGCGGCACCCAGGAATCCCGTGGCTGCCAGAGAAATTCCAGGTTAAGGAAAAAATCCTGCCTGGAAAGGAGGGGAAGCTTCAGCAATTCCCAGAGAAGCTGGGAAATCCCTGGGAATGTCCATGGGTAGCTTGGGATAAGAGAAATGCTGCTCGTGGAATCCTTAAGGATTGTTCTGGAATTCTGGGATCAAAGCGGTTGAGTTGTGCTTTGCTCCATGGGAATTTGGGAGGAATCAGGATCCAATTTTGGTTTTCTGGGAATATTTGAAGTGTATTCCTTACAATTCCTCTTTACTCTTTTCTCTTTTTTTTTAATTTTTCTCTTTATTACTTGTCTTTTATTTTTCCCTCATTTTATTTGATTTCATTTTATTTATGTTTTGGTTTTTTAATGTTATTTAATATTGTTTTCTTTTTTAAGTCTTTTTTTTTTTTTTTAATTTTATTCCATATTTAGGGAGCCTTTGGAAAACCAGATCATTTGGAATATGAGGATTCACGGGAGCAGAGCAACACATTCCCAAATCCACAAAGCAGGATTATCCCAGGATTTGGGATGGACCTCAAGGATGATCCCATTCCACACCTCCCACTATCCCAAGCTGCTCCAAACTTTCCTTGGACACTTCCAAGGATCCACAGCTTCTGTGGGAATTCCATCCCAGGCAGGAATTCTTTCCCATCTATCCCAACCCCTCTTCCTTAGGAAAAGCTGCCCTGAAAGCACCAAACCCTAAATCCCTCTCCAGAATTCCTACAAACTCCCAATCCTTGCAATCCCCGCATTCAGCTTCCATCCAAATGGAAAACAAGGAATTTTTTCCATGTTATCCTTGTTTTCCAAAGGGGGAAGAACCAGGCGTTGTTTATTTGGGATACACTTGCTGCATTCCATCAGGAAAAGTGGGAATGACAAAATTCCCCAGAGAATTCCCAAGAGACATCTGTTAATTATTCCATGAAAATCAAGCCCTCCATCCTTCCCAACCATTCATCCCACTGAGGACAGGAAGAATTCCTGGAATAAGGAAGAAAACACGGGAATACCAATGTGGGAAGGAGAGCTGGAATTCCCAGGACATTTTTAGGGATGGAACTGGCTGGAAATCAGGAATATTTGGGTTTATTTCTGTCAAAGACAAAAATCCACCCAATTTTCCAGGAATTCCTGGAATTTTCCAGGAATTCCTGGAAAATCCAAATGATCAGGGAATTTCTTCACAAGGATAAGCAGGGCAATTAAAATTACCTCCAGGGATAAAAATCTGAGAATTTTAATTTGGGAATTAATCTAGGAATTTAATCCAGGATTAAGTTGCCCTAAATGATGCCACTGCAAATAGAATTTAGGATTTGAATCCAGGTTTTTAATCCTGGGAATTCTCAGCCGTTTTTTGGGATAAAACTGCATCAAAGCTGTTCCAAAATTTCAATGTTTATCCCCAAAAAAAAGCTGGGAAAAAGCGTAAAGCAGCTAAAAAATCCAGAAAAAATATTGATAGTAAATAAATAAATTAACAATAATTTAAAAATAAAAATAGCCAGTAGGTTTTGAATAAAAATAAATCCCAAAATTCCTTTTCCACATGGAATGAAGCCCAAATGGATTTTTTTGGGAATTTAATTGTATAAATTTATGCATCAACCAAGGGCAGGATTGGTGTAAACAAAAGGTCCGAGTGGGATTGTGGTGGTTTTGAGGGAAAATCCAGAATTTTCCCAGATATTTCCATGCCCTACAAGGATATCTATCCCAAAAATCCTTGGATCAATTCCCTATTGGAAAACACGGAGATGGGAACAGGAAAAACTCTTTTTTTTTTCCCTTCTGATTTGAGAAAAATGGCAAAAAAGAAGAAAAAAAATCAAGTTTTCCATGGAAAAATCCCACAGTATCCCACACAGTCCATGAGTGCCACCTTGTGACGGAATGGGAACGGTGACAAATCCAAGGAAAACACAAAAAAAAAGGGAAAAGTCAGGATTTCCATCAGCTCCCCTCTGCTTCCCAAGATTTTATAAAGTAGGGAAGGAGAACAAATCCAGCTGGAAAACAGCAGGAAAACCTCTGGAAAAGGGCTGGAGATACGATAGTTTCCTGGAATTCCATCAGGAACTGGGATTTTTTTGGAATAACACAAAATTCCAGAGGCCAAAATTCACTTCCTTAAAAAAAATCAAACAGCTTTTCCAAGCTGGAATATTCCTCAAAAACAGGATATTCCTTTCCCTGCTGGAATTCCAATCAGAAATTGGTGGATTTATGAATTTATCCCAATTTTCCAGTTCTTTTTGGCACTGGATACATCTTTTCTTTGCTACTTTGGGATTAAAAATTAGGAAAAAAATAAAAGGATTCAGGGATGGTGGGAGGAATAAATTCCAAGCTGTTGAAAATTCCCAAGATTAGGTTAAAAAAACCCATCCTGGAATTTTAAGATTAGCAGTAGGGAATATCAATTTTCTTGTTGGGTATTTTCCAAATTTCCAAAATACTTTTCCAAAGTTTTTTCAAAATTATTCCGAAATCTCTGGAATTCCCACACCCGGACTTGTCTTATATCAAAATCCTGGGTTTTTAATCTGGGAAAATCAGGTTTTTATCCCATGTTTTAATTCAAGATTCCTGGATATTGGGGGTATCTATTCAGGATTTAAGGGAATTAAAGGTTTAATATAAATATTGGATATTGGACACGGGATATTGGATATGGAAGATGGGATATTGAATATGGGATATTAAAACATTGGATATGGGATATTGGATATTGAATATGGAATATTGAATGTTGGATACTGGATGTTGGATATTGGATATTAATTACTGGATATGGGATACTGGAAATAGTATGTGGGATATTAAATATTATATGTTGTATATGGAATATTGGATATTAAATATGGAATATTTAATATTGGATGTTGGATATGGGATATTAAACATTGGATATTGCACATTGGATATGGGATATTAAATATCATATATTGGATATGGGGTATTGGATATGGGATACTAGATGTGGGATATTAAACATTGGATATTGGATATGGGATATACAATATCAATTACAAAATATTGGATATTGGATACTGGATTTTAAATATTGGATATTGAATATTGACTATTGGATGTGTGATATTGGATATGGGAAATGAGATATTAAATACTGGATTTGGGATATTAAATATGGGATATTAGACATTGGATATGGGATATTGGATATTAAACATTGAATATGGGATATTAAACCCTGGATATGGAATATGCAATATCAATTATGAAATACTGAATTTTAAATATGAGATATTGAATATTGAATATGTGATATTGGATATAAGACATGATATATTAAATATTGGATTCAGGATATTAAATATGGGATTTTAGACATTGGCTATGGGATATTGGATATTAAACATTGGATATTGGACACGGGATATTGGATACTGGATATCAATTAGCAGGTATTAGATAGTAATTATTGGGTGTTAATTATTGGCTATTGAATATTGGATATTCCCTTCCAGCTGGGAATTCACTCCAGGAAAAGCAGCAGCAGTGCCAATGGCTCTGAAGCCACCTGGAGTTTATTCCTTGGATTTATCCTCGCCGCTGACTTCGCTGCGGGGCCGATTTGCCTCTGGAACGTTCCTTGGAAAAACCTTTGGAATCCGCTGGCACCCACCTGCCTGCCAGATGGACGTGCCCAAATCCGCCTGAGGAGATTTCCCGGCTCCGGCAAATCCTAGAGCATCCTCCAAAAACTGGATTTTCTTGCTGAACTGCATCTCCAGGATGGGAATGGCCTCGGGCATCCGCGCCGCCAGGAGCCGGTAGGAAGTGTCGGGTTTGCCGATGAACCGCTGCCGGATGCTGATCTCGTAGGGAGTGTGCACGCGGATATCATCCACCTCCCGGGATTCGAAGCGGTGCAGCAGCTGGGAATTGCAATCCTTGATTTCCAGGCCGGAGGGAAGCAGAGTGAGTTTTCCCGGTTTGGCGTTGGAGTCTGTCCTGTGGGTGATAATCACGGGAATTCGCAGCAGGATTCCTTCCTGCGGTTTGGGATCGGGAGCTGCGGGGGTTTCCTTGGGCTTCGATTCCAGAGGGGTTTTCCAGAGTTTGGTGCTGAAGGGCCACCAGGAAGGAGATTCCAGCTCTGTCAACAGCCTGGAAGGAGGAAGGGAGGGTTGGGAGAGGGAAAAGCTTTGGATATTACAGCAGTTCCAAGAAAATCCTCACAGACATGGAAATTCCTTAATCCCTCCTCAAACCCATCCACAAGGCTCAAACCCCACCTTCTCCTCATAATCCTTTGGAAAAACTCCCAGAATCCCAGCTGGGAAGGAAGGAATGGAATTGGGTTTTTCCAGGCCCATTTCCATGTGCCTGTTCCTCAATATTCCCACTCCTGCCCATCCATCACCACTTCCAAGGCCTTTTCCTGTCCCTTTTCCTTTACCCCTTTGCTCCACACCCAAATTCCCAGATAAAACATTAAAAATTCCAGCTCGAGGTTCCAAAAATCCAGCAGACACTTCCCAGAAGTGTCCAGACCCCACCTTTCCGGCAGTGCTGGTGCAGCTCCCTAAGGAAAACATTCCCAGCAAACAGGGAAGTGAGCCAGGGCTGGAATTGTCCAGCTTCAGCTCCTGATCCAAAGACAAGGAAAATATTCCCATTTTTTTTCAAGGGAAAACCAAAAATAAACATCCCCAAAATCCCAATTTAATTCTGTTATCATTCCCTGGTTTTAAGTCCATTAAAATCTAGAGATACTCCCAAGAATTCCCTGCTCCTTAAATTAAAAAAAAAAACTGGGAAGAGCCCTCTGGAACTCCCTCCTGCAGCTCCAAGTTGGGTAATGCTTAGCCACCCTTGAATCCGTGGAATTCCAAGTCCCTTCCACACTCCGAGTCCTTTCCCATTCCTTTCCTCTCCTCCAGAGCTGCATTCCCCTCACTCCTGCTGGAATTTTATCCAGAGGGTTCCAAGAAAAGGAAATATTTGGCACAAATATTCCCCAGCAGCCCTGGCTGCTCCCATTCCTGACAATTCCTGCTTTTCCCAGGCGTTGGAATATTGGATATTCCAATCCTGCCACGAGCTTGCCCAAAATTCCCAATTCCGGCTTCCTTCCCATTAAACCCAAAGTTTTTAAAGGCTTGGGGATATTCCTAGAAAATCAAAGCAAAGGTTTTCCAGGGAAGCTGTGGGAGAAAAGGGAGGGAAAGGAAAAAAGGGTGGGAAGGGAAAAAGGAGAGGGGAAAAACAGAGGGAAACAAAAATGGCAGGGAAAAAATGGTGAGGGAAAAAGCGTTGGAAAGGAAAAAAGAGTGGGCAGATAGTGAAGGGAAAAAACAGAGGGAAACAAAAATGGCGGGGAAAAAAATCGTGAAGGAAAAACATCGGGAAAAAAGGGCGGGAAAGGCAAAGGTGGGAAAAAAGGGCGGGAAGGCAAAGGCGGGAAAAAAGCCGGCACAGCTCCGGATTTCCCAGGAACGGCAGCAGGGCTGGGCACTGCAAACACTGCTCAGCTCCACTTATCCTGATTTTATACCTATGGAGGAAGGAGACTGTGGCATTCCCGAATTCCCAGAGCTGAATTCCCAACATTCCCTGAGCCCACGGGCACAAAAAGCTGGGATTGGAAGGGATCCTATGGATTATCCCATTCCATGGGCAGGAAATTCCCACTGACCCAGGCTGCTCCAGCCTGGGCTTGGGCACTGCCAGGGATCCAGGGGCAGCCCCAGCTGCTCTGGGAATTCCATCCCAGCCAGGAATTCCCAATTCCCAATCTCCCATCCATCCCTGCCCTCTGGCAGTGGGACCATTCCCTGTGTCCTGTCCCTCCATCCCTGTCCCCAGTCCCTCTCCAGCTCTCCTGGAGCCCCTTCAGGCCCTGGCAGGGCTCTGAGCTTTCCCTGGAATTTTCCCTTCTCCAGGTGAGCATTCCCAGCTCCCTCAGTTTTTCCTCATGGAGCTGCTCCATCCTTCCAATGCAAATCCCAGTTTAATTTCCCAAAGACCTCCCCCAGGAATTCCAGGCCCACCAAAGCATTCCCAGCTCCGGGAACGTTCCCATTCCGAACCTGTCGGCCACATCCATGTCCCCCTCGATCTTGTGGAGTCCCCTCATGATGTTGTCGAACTGCTCCCCCTGGGAATGCAGCACCTTGGCCGTGTCCTCCAGGCGTTTCTGGGATCCCTCCAACATTCCCGTCAATTCCTTGCCCTTGCTGGATTCCAGGGCCGCTCCCGCTCCGGCCTCCTGGCTGGACACCAGCTGCTCCCTCCAGAAATGCTCCAGGATGTTGAACACCACATTCCTGTTGGGATGCAGGGAGCTGAACCAGTGCTTGGTGCCCTTCTCCAGGATGGTGAGGGAGCTGAAGATTAAATGGGAAGATTCCTTCTTGATCTCGCTGATCCCGGAAAGGTGGAAATCCACCAGGAGCTCCCCGGTTTTGTCAGCCGTGAATTTGATGGAAACGGGAGTCAGGGAGAGCTTCCCAGGGATCCATTGTTTGCTGGTGTCCAGGTAGTAGGAGCAAGGCCAGGAATGGATCCGGATGTCCTCGTTCATCAGCTCGTTCTTCCCGGCCTCCTCTCCCAGGGAAATGCTCTTCGATCCAGCAGGAGACACTAAAATCCATGGGGGAAAAAAAAGCAGGAATCCTGAATAAACACACAGGAATTCATCTGGCTCCTGGCTCTTTTCAGCTGGATATCCAAGGAATTTGGGAAGCATTTCTAACCACAGGAATATTTGCTCTGGAAAAGCCCATCATGCATTTTCCCAAGAATTCCATACATATCCTGGAATATTCCCATTCCCAGCTCATCTCCACTTCCAACAGACCAATAGGTACTGAGGAAAATCCCAGATATCCCAAAATTCCATATTTTCTCAGGAAAAGGCCATCAACATCACTGGCCATGCATTTTCCCAATAATTACATTCACATCCTGGAATATTCCCATTCTCAGCTCATCCTCAGCTTCCCACAGCCTCAACAGGCACTGAGAAAAATCCAGCATTATCCCAAAATTCCAAATTTCCTCTGGAAAGGACTGTAAACATCACCAGCCATGCACCTTCCCAACAATTCCATTCATATACTGGAATATTCCAATTCCCAGCTCATCCTCAGCTTCCCATAGATCAACAGGTCCTGAAGAAAACCCAGGATATCCCAAAATTCCAGCTCATCCCTCTTTGTAAATCCCTGCTCACTCCCCTTCCCCTCTGGCATCTCAACATCCAGGCACGTAAAGCACAATTCAGGAATTCTCCAAAAATTGTCAATATTCCTCAGGAATTCCCAGTATTCTCCAAGATTTCCCGTTATTCTCCAGGAAATCCCAGTATTCTCTGCAAATTCCCAGTATTCTCCAGGAATTCCCAGTATTCTCCAGGAAATCCCGGTATTTTCCAGGAAATCCCAGTATTCTCTGCAAATTCCCAGTATTCTCCAGGAATTCCCAGTATTCTCCAGGAAATCCCAGTATTCTCCAGGAAATCCCAGTATTCTCAAGAATTGTCAATATTCTCTGGGAATTCCCAGTATTCTCCAGGAAATCCCAGTATTCCCCACAAATTCCCAGTATTGTCCAAGAAATCCCAGCATTCTTGAGGAATTCTTAGTATTCTCCAGGAATTCCCAGTATTCTCCAGGAATTCCCAGTATTTTCTGCAAATTCCCAGTATTCTCCAGGAAATCCCAGTATTCTCAAGAATTGTCATTATTCTCTGGGAATTCCCAGTATTCTCCAGGAAATCCCAGTATTTTCTGCAAATTCCCAGTATTGTCCAAGAAATCCCAGCATTCTTGAGGAATTCCCAGTATTCTCCAGGAAATTCCCAGTATTCTCGAAGATTTGTCAATATTCTCTGGGAATTCCCAGTATTCTCCAGGATTTGTCAATATTGCCCAGGAAATCCCAGTATTCTCCAAGAATTCCCAGTATTCCCCAGGAATTCCCAGTATTCCCCAGGAATTCCCAGTATTCTCCAAGAAATCCCAGTATTCTCGATGATTTGTCAATATTCTCCAGGAATTCCCAATATTCGTAAATATCCCCAGGAAATCCCAGCATTCTTCAGGAATTCCCAGTATTCTCCAGGATTTGTCAATATTCTCCACGAAATCCCAGTATTTTCTGGGAATTCCCAAAATTCCTCAGCAATTCTTTCCATCCACACAATCCCAACTTTGGAACGGGCAATTCCACTCATGGAACGGTTTCTCTCCACGCTTCCAGAAGTTTCTTGGAGCCAAGGGTTGGAATTTTCCTGGAATATCTTCCTCATGGCTGCAGTTTCCAGCACTGAGGCCTGGTTCCATCCCAGAATTAATTTGGGAATGCTGATGACATCACTGGGATTCCATTGCTCCACGATCCATCATTTTCTCCAAGGCTTTGTTATTCCATGGATGAATTCCAGGAGCTCTGGAATTCTGCTGTGTCATTAATGAGGTGCTCACTAATTACCATCCTTAATTTCACACCAACCTGCTCCCTTCCAGGAAAAGTTGAGGAATTCCCGGGAAAACAAAAAATTCTTCAGGAATGCTGAATTCCTGATCCCACCCTGAGATCTCCCAGTGTTTTCAGGCTGCTGAATCATTAATTCCTTAAAAAGTCCACTTCCAGGGATTTTTAAAAATTATTTTTTTAATAAATAATTTTAAGTTAAATAATTTTAGAATTATTTCTTTTAATCAAATCACTCAAAATTTCAATATAATTAAGATAAGGATTAGCTCACGCTATACACAAAAAAAAATCCTTTATTTGGATTCTATCCCTTATTTCCATAGATTTTTAATAACTTTTCTTCATCATTAATTTTAGAGATAAAAAAAAAATCAGCCATAAATTGACAAAAAAAATTGGAATTTGAAGTGAAAACTCTCCACCTCTTTTGATCCAGTAAATCCCTGGAGAAAACTGTGGGAAAAGAGAGGGAACAAAATCACCGGAAAATCTGATTTCAAGGAGTGGTTACAGCCAAGTTTTCAGCAAGGAAAAATTCCAAAGGAAAATACAACCGAGGCTGTTCTCAACATGAAAATTCCTTAAAAAATCAAGGATTTATATTTAATAAATTTAAATAAGTTGTTCCTGAGCATTATCCCAAGTTTCTTATCTGGATTTGGATCCATGGAATTTTCCCCTCAGGGAGGAATTTTCTCCCTCAGGGTTTTTCAAGTTTTCAGCCAGGGAAAAAATTCCAAAGGAAAATACAACTGAGGCTGTTCCCAAAATGAAAATTCCTTAAAATAGAATTGATTTATATTTAATATTAAATTAAAATAGGCTCTATCCCAAGATTCCTACCTGGATTTGGATCCATGGAATTCTCAAGAATTTTTTTTTCCCTCAGGGCTTTTCCCCCTAATTTTCACCAAGGAAAAAAATTCTAAAGGAAAATACAACTAAGGCTGTTCCCAAAATGAAAATTAATTTAAAAATCAAGGATTTATACCTAATTATAAATTAAAAGAAGCTCTTCTTGATCCTTATCCCAAGTTTCTTATCTGGATTTGTATCCATGGAATTTTCAGGGAGGAATTTTCTCCCTCAGGGCTTTTCAAGTTTTCAGCCAGGGAAAAAATTCCAAAGGAAAATACAACTGAGGCTGTTCCCAAAACGAAAATTCCTTAAAATAGAATTGATTTATATTTAATATTAAATTAAAATAGGCTCTATCCCAAGATTCCTACCCGGATTTGTATCCATGGAATTCTCAGGGAGAAATTTTTTTCTCTCAGGGCTTTTCCCCTTAATTTTCACCAAGGAAAAATATTCTAAAGGAAAATACAACTAAGGCTGTTCCCAAAATGAAAATTCATTTAAAAATCAAGGATTTATACCTAATTATAAATTAAAATAAGCTCCTCTTGATCCCCCAAGTTTCTTACCTGGATTTGGATCCATGGAATTCTCCAGGAGCATTTTTTCCCCTCAGGGAGGAATTTTTTCCCTCAGTTTTTTTTTCTCTTCCAAGTTTTTAAAACAAAACCTTGAAGCTAAAGGAAAACACAACAGAGGCTGTTCCCAAAATGAAAATTCCTTAAAAATTCCAGGATTTGTATCGATTAAGAAATGAATCCAAGGCCTGGCAGGGCAGCACAGGCGGAGCCGTCACTTCCCGAGGTTTTTATACCTGGATTTGTCTCCAGTCCTGTGATTCCTGACTCACCTGAGAGCTCCAAGCTTTGCTCAGCTCCCTGCTGCACCTGAGGCAAATTTTCCAAGGAAAAAATTCCAGTTGGGAATGAAATCCTTTTTATTTTCCAAGGAAAAATCCAGCTGGGAATTAAATTTTTTTTTTTTTTTTTTTTTTTTCCCCAAGGAAAAAATCCAGTTGTGAATCAAATCCCCTTTTTTTTCCCCCAAAGAAAATCCAGCTGGGAAAGAAATTCTTTTTTTCCCAAGTAAAAATCCAGCTGGGAATCAAATCCTTTTTTTTTTTCCCCAAGAAAAATCCAGCTGGGAATAAAATCCTTTTTATTTTCCATGGAATAAATCAAGTTGCGAATGAAATCCTTTTTATTTTTCCAAGGAAAAATCCAGCTGGGAATAAAATCCTTTTTTTTTTCCAAGGAAAAATCCAGCTGGGAATAAAATCCTTTTTTTTTTTTTTCTCCCCAATATAACAATATTTTCATTAGGAACAGATCAGGAGAATTCTTCTCTCTCCGAGAAGAAATTTAAATTTCCAATTAAAAAGACAAAAGGATTTTTTTTCCAACATTAAACAAAGGAAATGGTCGGAATTCTTGGAAAACCAAGTGGCAGAATTATCCTGGATTTCGGGATAAGAATCAGGGAATGGTTTGGGAAAGGATCTTAAGCATCATCCAGTTCCAGCTGCCATGGGAAAACCTTCCATTATCCCAAATATTCCACAAGAAATTCCTTCCATTTCTTCCCAAAACATTCCCTCACAATTTGTCCCCAGATCAGATTTGGACTCTCCCATTATCCACATTTTTTTTTTAGGAAATAATCTGATTTTTAGCCACATCTGCCCTAAAACCCTGGAATTCCATCCACAGGAACCCCTGGGATTTCTGTCAGGGAAAGGTGGATTTGACATCCATGAAAAGGTTGGGATGGGTGGAAAAATAAAACAAAAAAACTCAAATTGCTTCTGGATTCTTTGTAAATTCAGGAATAGGTTTGGAAATTTGGGAATGTCACAGTTTTACAAACTTGGGAATGTCACAATCCTTCATCCAGGAGACACCTGAGGGATTCCACAAGAAATTCCTTCAGCTTCTTCCCAAAATGTTCCTTCTCCATTTGTTCTCAGATCAAATGGGGACTCTTCCATCATCCACACTCTTTTTTTAGGAAATAATCATATTTTTGGCCAAAATCCTGGAATTCCATCCACAGCAAGGCCTGGATCAGCCCCAAGGAGATGAGGATTTGGCATCAGCAGCGTCACGGGATTTTGCAGGAATTCTTTCCCTGGAACATCATCCAGGGGCTGCTTCCAGAAAAAGAAGCTGATTCACCCTCGGTGAGCTCAGCCAATTAACCGGGAGCGTCACTAATTAGTTAATTAGGGAGAGGAGCTGGCACCATCCCTGGGTGACGTTTCCATCAACATTGCATTCCCAGGTTTTTTGGGAATGATGGCCAGAACTGTCCTGCACTTTTTATTGTTTGTTTCCTCTCCTCCTGCATGGCTGAGAATTCCACAGGGTGGTTTAATTCCGGAATTAAATCTGGGAAATGCTGATCTCCAAACCCCTGGGAGCCACACTCAATAAATGAGTTTATAAATCCCAGCCAGTCACTCTGCCTCTTTTTTTAATTAAGAGTCAATTCCAGGATTAATAAATCTACAAATCCCAAATTTAGGATCCTCCAAGCTGTGAAGTATCCAGGTCTGACCTCATTCCTTCATTCTTCACTTTTGTTTCCTCACCCCAAGCTGGAATTCCTCCCTTCTTCCAAGGATCTCCATCCCTTCTTCTTCCTTTTTCCCAGGAGTTTTCCTCCTCCTCACAGAGAATTCCAACTGTTTGGGTTGGGAGGGACCCTAAGGATGATCCCATTCCAAGGGCATGGACACCTCCCACTATCCCAAGTGGATCCAATCTGTCCTTGGACACTTCCACAAAGGAATTTCCCCAATTTCCAACCAAAATCTCCCTCTCCTCCTGTCCCTGTTCCCCGGGAGCAGAGCCAGACCCCAGCAGCTCTCCCTGAGCCTCCTTTTCTCCTACTGAACATTCCCAGCTCCCTCAGGATTCCCCAACCCCTCCATGCCCAGATTCCCACACAACTCGCTGTCACCCAGGAATTTATGGGATTTTCCCACTCCCCTTCCCTGTCCAAATCCCATCCCAGCCCAGGATCCAACAGAATCCCCCAGCCCCAATCCCCAATCCCAGCCCCCTCCCCAATTCCCGGCACCAACCCCGCCCCCGCCCCAATTCCAAACCCCCTGTCCCAGTACCAGTCCCATCCCATGGATTTGAGCCCCCAAACCCCAAATTGTGCCTCCCCCAACCCCATTTCCAACCCCTCTGTCTCAATCCCAGTCAGATCCCACAGATCTGAGCCCCCAAACCCCAAATTGTGCCTCCCCCAGCCCCATTTCCAACCCCACTGTCCCAGTCCCATCCCATGGATCTGAGCCCCCCAACCCCAAATAGTGCCTCCCCCAGCCCCATTTCCAACCCCCCAGTCCCAATTTGTGCCTCCCCCAGCCCCATTTCCGACCCCCAAGCTCCATTTGGAGCCCCCCAGCCCCATTCGGACCCCCTGGTCCCAGTCCAAGACCACCGCAGCCATGGACTGGAGACCCCCATTCCCTATCCAGAGCACCCCCAAGCTGCAATTTGTGGCCCTCAGACCCCAATTTGTGACTCCCCCAGCCCCATTTCCGACCCCCAAGCTCCACCTCAAGCCCCTTCCGCTCCATTTGGAGCCCCCCAGACCCGTTCGGATCCCCCAGTCCCGGTCCAAGACCACTATGGCCATGGATCAGAGCCCCCCTTTCCCTATCCAGAGCACCCCCAGACCCAAATTGTGCCTCCCAAGCCCCATTTCCAACCCCAAACTCCACCTCCTGCTCCATTTCGAGCCCTCCCAAACTCGTTCGGACCCCCCGGTCCTGGCCCAAGACCACCGCGGCCATGGATTGGAGCACCCCAAGCCCCAATTTGTGACCCCCCAGCCCCAATTCCAACCCCAAGCTCCACCTCGAGCCCCTCCCGCCCTATCTGGAGCCCCCCCAGCCCCGTTTGGACCCCACGGCCATGGAATGGAGCCTCTTTTCCCAACCCACAGCACCCCCAGACCACAATTTGTGACCCCCCAGCCCCAATTTGTCGCCCCCAAGCCCCGATTTGTGGCCCCCAGCCCCATTTCTGAACCCCAAGCTCCATTTGGAGCCCCCCAGACTCGTTCGGACCCCGTGGTCTCGGTCCAAGACCACCGCGGCCATGGATCAGAGCCCCCATTTCCCCATCCAGAGCACCCCTAGACCCCAATTTGTGGCCCCCAAGCGCAAATTTATGGCCCCAAGCCGCAATTTGTGCCCCCCAGACCCCATTTCTGACCCCCTCAGCCCCATTTGGAGCCCCCCCGGCCCCCCCCACGCACCTCCCTCAGTGCGGCACCGGCTCCGCTCCGCGCCTGCGCCCTCCGCGCGCTCTCATTGGCTGAGCCCCGCGCATCTGAGCGTTCCTATTGGCTGAGCCCCGCGCCGCTGCGCTCCTCTTTTCACCTCCCCCCTGGCCCCCACCCGCCCGACGCAGAGGTTCCGGCGGCGCCCGCCATAGCCGTTCATTGTCGCCGCCGACGCCGCCATTCGCGCGGCGGGGCTGCCCTGAAGGGGGCGGGGGTGAGTGTGGCTCCCTCGGGGTGCTCCCGGTTCCTGCGGACAGCGACGGTGCGGGTGGGACGGGAGGGGGAGGCGGGGATGGCGTGTGCGACGTCCTGTGGTGTCCGGGTCCTCCCGCCCTACTCCGGGGAGGGCCGTGAGGGGAATTCCCTCATGGAGATTCCCTGATCCCGGTGTTCCCATGGGGATCTCTGAGAGAGGAATTCCCTCCTGGAGATTCCCTGATCCCGGTGTTCCCATGGAGATCTCTGAGAGAGGAATTCCCTCATGGAGATTCCCTGATCCCGGTGTTCCCATGGAGATCTCTGAGAGAGGAATTCCCTCCTGGAGATTCCCTGATCCCGGTGTTCCCATGGATATCTCTGAGAGAGGAATTCCCTCAAGGAGATTCCCTTATCCCGGTGTTCCCTTGGGGATCGTTGAGGGGGGAATTCCCTTAAGGAAATCCTTTAATCCAACTGCCGTATCCCTAGGAGATCAGTGAAGGAGGAATTCCCTCAGTGATTTTCCATATTCCCTTGGAGCTCTGTGAGGGAGGAATTCCCTCCTGCATTTCCCTTCATTCCAATATTCTCTTGGAGCTCTGGGAAGGAAAATTCCCCCATGGATTTCCCTTAATCCCGGTGTTCCCATGGAGATCGCTGAGGAAGGAATGCCCACATGGAAATCCTTTATTCCCACTGTGATATCCCAGTGTTTTCTTGGAGCTCCGTGAGGGAGGAATTCCCTCAGGGATGTCCGTTAATTTTGAAATTCACTTGGAGCTCAGTAAGGAAGGAATTCCCTTATGGAGGTTCCCTAATCCCAGTGTTCTCTTGGAGATCTCTGAGGGAGGAATTCCCACATGGAAATCCTTTAATCCCACTGCTGTATCCTTCTGTGAGGGAGGATTTCCCTCAGGGATGTCCCATAATTCCCATATTCCCTTGGAGATTTCTGATGGAGGAATTCCCTCATAGAGATTCCCTAATCCCAGTGTTTCCATGAGATCCCTGAGGGAAGAATTCCCTCATGGAGGTCCCTTAATTCCCATATTCCCATGGAAATCTGTGAGGGAGGATTTCCTTCAAGAATGTGCCATAATTCCGATATTCACTTGGAGTTCTGGGAGGGAGGAATTATCTCCTGGAGGTTTCTTAATTCAAATATTCCCGTGAAGATCTCTGAGGGAGGAATTCCCTCATGGATTTCCCTTAATTCCAATATTCTCTTGGAGCTCTGTGAAGGAAAATTCCCCCATGGAGTTCCCTTAATCCCGGTGTTCCCTTGGAGATTTCTGAGGGAGGAATTTCCACACGGAAATCCTTTATTCCCACTGTGATATCCCAGTGTTTTCTTGGAGCTCTGTGAGGGAGGAATTCCCTCATGGATGTTCCTTAATTCCGTTGGAGATCTCTGAGGGAGAAATTTCCTCATCAGAGTTCTTTAAT